CCAGCTTTCAGAATAAATGCCGAAACATAATCAGGGTGCAATTTTTTTTTCATCATAGTACAAAAAAAACCAACAATTAAGAATGTACTTCTCCGATGAGTGATTGAACAAACAAAAATCATCAGTAATAGAACAAAGAACAATTTATTACTGGCAATACCTCTTCGTCCCACTCAGCGCAATACAAAAATCAATGTACAGTCAATAACCTCATTATCAATCGTCTGTCAAATGCTAACAACATTGGGACCCCTTATTTTCTTATCCAATTCGTTCGCATCAAACGGCCCGACAAAAAGCTAATTCCAACGACTGTTTGACATAACAAAATCTGAAAGGAGAAAATTCAAATTGGATCACGTCACTTACTCGACGACTGAACAGCGAAAACATTGCTATCTCTTTCACTCAGAATTAATGACTAAAGTCTGGTTCAGTCGCAAGTTTTTTGGTGGAATCTTGGCGCTTGGCGAAAGGATGGTCATTAACACGTTTGCCTCATGAAAGTTAAATTATTGTTTAAGATGGAATTGGGTTTTTATCGCTCCGCATTTTTAAATTATGGTATGGGGGAAATTTTTTGACGGATTCAACAGCTGAATCAGTGAAAAGAAATTCATAAGGTTGTAAAAGTAAAAACAGGTCTTGTTTTATTTGCTTTTTATAGTCGACTTGTTGTTGTCAGAAGGCTCACTGTTTCCTCGTTTCATAAACTTTTCTTGATCTACAGTGGTCTAGCTATGGCACATTTTTTATGGGGTTGGTTGGCAAAACGAGCAGACAGATACGGTTAGCAATCGGCGCTGTCCATGGACAGTCATAATACCATAGGCGTTAATACAAGTGCGTTGCCGACCTTTTGTGAGTCATTAGGGATTTAGATCAGGGGATTTGGGGATTAAAAAGTGAAGGGAAAGCTTGGACCTCCAGTAACTCGCTCACATGGCGAAACACAACACTGTGGTTGTTTCACGCTGGTTTTTTGTGCGTGAGGAGGTTTTCGTGATATTACTCCGGTCTTAATGACCCATTCGCGGCGAAACAGTGCTCTCCTGCACTTTGCATAAATGACTAAAAATAATAAGAAAAAAATACATTAATATTTAATTTTTGATAGCATGCCCGAGTACGTTACAAAATTGCCATAAAGCTCTGTCAAATCGAATTACCGATAGTAAAACAACACACTGACATACAGGGCTTAAACTCATTAATTCCGTCGTTCGACTTTCCATCAGGACGCACCCTTATACCGGCAATAAGATTATTATATTTGACAGGATAATTCAGCGACACAGACAGTGTCAGGCCAATCTTATTAGCCATGTAAATGAATATAGAATGAATCCATTATTTCCCAAACAAGCCTCGGGGAGGGGGCGATCATATTTAAGGGAATGGGAGACTTTGGGATTTATATAGAGCTGTTAATTGCGAACAAGTTTACTTATTGTTGAAGATAGATACAAAAATGGTTTTTTTTTACCAAGTTTTCTTAATCGCTAGTTTTCTTAGTCAACACCAGAGAAGTTACGGGTGCGTTGCAGCCTTTAGGGGATCAGGGTTTCGGAAATTTAGGAATTGGGGACGGATAGCGGGCAGAGAAGAATGATTAGGCCTCCGGTAACCGCACTAACATGGCGAAACATAACGCTGTAATTGTTTTACGACGATTTTCTGTGAGGCCGTGGTAAGGTATCACTTCGGTGGAGCCGACCCATTAGTTCTGAAGCCTGGCTCTCTCACACTTAAAAGCTTTGATCCCATTTCAAGTAACATACATTTTAGTCGTAACGTCGAACTAAAACCTCCTGGAAGACCAACCGATATCATCAAGCAAATTGACATCACATGTCAAAAAAATTGCAGTTCCGAAACTCTTAAAATTTATACCGACTTAATAACGTCTCAGGTAATAACAGCTCTGAAACACTTGAACCATTAAGTCATGGCTATAATAAATGCGTTACCATATTTTCGGGTATATTACGTGTTATTTATTGGCTTAAAATTGTACTCATCGCGTACATTATGTATGCAGGTAATTACCCCGCTAGCGCTCCCTTCTTAGCATGTTCAGATTAGGGGTCTTGACACAGAGTAAGTTAAACACAAGATGTGTCACTTTGCAAACTGTGGATTTTAGGCCGAATGTATTTTATACATTCGGCCTAAATAATATAATACTTATTTGAAATTGATCATTACCTCATGTATGTCGCTGGTTTGCGGACGGCGCATTGAGTTCTTCGCACTCCTCAAAGAGCCAATAAATCTCCACAGACGAGGCCGTATAAGGCTCATGTTCGGGGGTAAGAGCAATGAGACACCGCGGCCTCGGCCTAGAGTAGGAAAAGGAACTGAGGTTTTTAGTCAGTAAGAGTCTGACACTTTCTTCCACCAGACCCTGCGCGAGAGAAATCATTTGATGATTTTTCCTTTTGAAAAAAAGAATATATTTCCAAAATAGTTGTGTGATTTCATTTTTACTTTATTTTATCATTATGATCCGTAAATGAGCATACTGTACAGTTTCTGCTCTACAAAGTTCGTATACCCAAGTCTGAACACATCTCAGCGCCCTCTTTTGGGCTCGATGACACTTCACTTTGTTGACAGGTCGGTGATTAATTCATATTTGGAGGGTAGACGTAGAATATTTATGCGGCACGATATTTATAGTGCGGGGCCTAGTAAAAAGTGGTGAATATGATTAAATTTTAATATCATTTTGTAAGGGACCTTGTTTTTCGTGTTATGTTTTAATAAGTATACCATTTTTGACGTGTGAGGCAACATTTGACATTTTATGAGGGTATAATAAAGTTGTTTAAGTTCGTTTCATGTTACTTTTATTTATGTCCGAGGGAGCCTTGCAACAAAATTGCTTTAATAAATAATAATGTTCTTCATTGGCTCTTTAATGAAGTCTTCTTAATTAGTCTTGACATTTTCCAACCTAAAAAATTATGTGAAGATACTAATATTACAGTATGACATAGTCCACACTACACCAGTGATAACCACTCAATAGTTATATCCTACTCATAACTGAGACACAATCATATTTACAATCAATCCACAAAAGCCAAGATGTGACGCGCAACAAACCTTCCAGCCGTCACAACTGCCAAACAATTACCACAACACATGTACAGTACACAAAGTCTACAAGACAAGCGTCGCACCGCGATTACTCGCTATTAACCCATAGCTAGCCCCCGTTTAATTTAATTAACACGCAACCGCATTCCGTCCCTTTCAAACTTTCGAAGAAACCATATCTCTGTCCCTCTTCCCCTGTAATCTGCACACAGCCTTGCGGTCACCCGAGGCAGTTAACATGCTGGCCATTGTTTCGGAGATTTCAGTGGGCCACAAGGATAAACTTGTAGGATTAGTACATTTGTCGTGGTTGGGGTGAGAATCGGTTGGGGTTACCGAGGATAAGTCTTGTTTAGACTCCCGGGAAATTGTTGATGGAGCGGAATGGGTTGGGTTTTGGAGATAGTTAACAAGTTGTTGCTGTATTTGTTACTGATTTTGTGTTTGTGCTCTTTAATAAAATCGGTTTCACCATTCATTTGTCGGTTTTCAATTTGACCTAACATGTCGAACATTTCATCAAATTTTCAAATCTGATAGCCGCTTAAACTGCTAACAAATATTTTTCATTCTTTTGGTCAATATTAATACTTCCAATGACCAAGTTTACATCATAAAGTCTGTAGTAAAACAAAGAGTTCTAGAATGTTTCGAATATTTCTAGCGAATAATAGTCTCCCTGTAAATTCTGGAGATCCTAATGTGCGGAAGACTATGCGGTTGGCCCTTTATGTGGGCCGTATTAAATTCTGTGTGTAGCAGTTGTGGCCCGCCATGTTAATTTGAGGCCTCAGTATTACCTACTAATGTCCGCTACCAGTTTACGATGTTGGGGATATTAAGATTTCAGTTTCTTAGTACTGAGTTTAGAGTAAATAAAGCATGAAGTAAGTTTTTGAGGAAAATTTAAATTTGTTTGCTTATTAATGAAGCAGGAAAAGGAACTGGAGGGAGGGGTGTTAGTAAGTAAGAGTCTGAGACACATTTAATGATTTTGAAAAGGCATAAATTGTTTTTGCTTTCCTAAAAAAAGATACAATACATTATTTTCCGTGCCCCACAGTGATATAAAACGTAACAAACATGTCAACAAAATATTATACAGTTGCGACAATCAAATCAACCAATTTTCAACGAAACAAAATTAATTTCACAAACACAAATTTCAACTTGATCCCAACTAAACATTTCGCCACCCCAAACCACAGATTCACTCCAAGTTTCCCCAAAAACCAGCAAATCAACGAAAACAAACTGGTTTACCGAATCCCTTTAATTTTCTCATGTAACCTCATAGCGCTGACCACACGATTTATAGTTTTAATAGTAGGCCAATATACTGCCGCAATTTATCTTGACTGCACTGCATTAAAGGGATCTAGTGACCCTTAACTGGTTTTAAATTGTCCAGCTCACTGCTGGGGTCCGAGCCAGGATTTTGGATTGAAAATTTAGTGTTCAATTTTTAGCGTTACTGATTCTGGGAAAGTTTTGTTATTGACAAAAGAAGAGTCTGCAAGTATTTGGCGTTACTTTACGGGGATATTTTTTTTGGCTTAACTTTCAATGAAAGGCTAATATGATTATGGTCTCCTCACATTGTTTGGCTCCAACTTTTTTATTAAATTTTGGCAAAAAGAAGTGCAAATCTGATGACATTTTACATTTTTCAAACTTTCCAAATTGTGATGACATTTTAGTTCAGAACAATATATAAACCAACACCTTCCAATCCACGCTCAAATTCTCTTGACTGCTTGTCAGTCAATGTCGTTCCTGTGAAACTGAATGATACGCTTTGAACATGCTTCAACAGAATTTTCAATCTTCACATATCACAAAGCCTCGCTTCAAGCGCAATTCTCGCTTAGCTCTAAAAGTTACAATGTTGGACAATGTCGGAATCACAGACGCTGGTATCCACCTGCATTAGTCCGGAGATTTGTGCGGGATTGAAGGGGGTGAGTTAGTGCTGCTCGTGCGGCCAGTGTCGGGATTTCACGGGATTCCCGGATTTTGGAATCTGGGTCGAATTTAGTAGTCACCTGGGTAGCTATTAAGGACTATTTAAGTTGTGTGTGAGCGTTATTAGCGTGCATTTCTATGGAAAATAATATGCACGCCATATTACCAACCGAACCTGCAACCTTATTAACCATACCATATTGTCGCTTTTTTATTTTCTACCCAAGCCCTTGTTGTCTGATCAAAAATCCCATATGCCATTAACTCCATCTCATGTGCCACTAATATATACTTATGAATTCTCATTAATGTTGATATAGCTAAATCAATATTCTAGCCTTTAACCATTGCTCTTAAGCCTTTAACAATCTGTTGATTGCGATTTACACCTAAACAACGAATCTACACATGTAAGCGTTTCTAAAATCTGTCATCACCAGGGATAATCCCAATAATTTCTAAAACCAATCAATTTCCCACATAAGCCGGCAGCACTATGTAATTTCCTATCGAAACATTTTACGGTAATATCGTTATGAAGCAATATTACAACAGCCGCGTAATCTGAGGCTTTGGGACAACATGGAGGTGGCACACGTAACCAGGATTATGGCGAACTATCTAAATATGATTAGCATACAAATTAGAGGTTTTTAAGTGAAGAACTTTATGGCATCGTATGGTGAAGAGATTTTCGGATTAAACTGTTTGTTTGAAGTGAATAATGGTGTTTTGTGAGGATTATTTCTACGTCTATTAGTGTTAAGTATGTTGTAAGGTTGAATTTGTGTTCAGTTTGAAGGTGTTTCATTGGTTTTTATTTGGATTTGATGAACATTCAACTCTTTTCTGGTATTTGTTTTGTGAGATAAATCCAACTTCTATTTTATCGATGTAAAATAAAAATAAAAAGTATAGGTACTAATTTATAGTTTCAAGGCATTTTTAGTTTATTTCAATAATACAAACTTATATTTAACTGTAAATGAGTAAAATAAGAATCACAATACACGTATTATGATCGGTTGTCGCGATAGTTACGGTGCTATCTTTTGTGGCTATGTATGGATAGATACGGCCACGAAATTATTTTTCCGTTGTCAAATCCAATCATCATTGGATAAATATTTAATATTTGGTATAATGTATTTGAAAGGAAAAGACAGTTGAATGTGATCACAATTTTTTTCTTGATCATACGATTGAATTTTCATACTCACTGCTCAGCAGCAACGCTACACTTACCCGACTAACAAGGTACTCATTACATATTTTGTCACTTTTCTACAATTATACATATATAGTATTAGAACCGTCTAATAAATATAATCATGAAAGCAACATAAACATTTCAAGTCTTTGAAATGTACAAATTATTTTAAAGTCATCCTCCATTACTTGGCTCCTAAATAACGCCTCATAAAATTCGGGGCCGCACATAAAGAGTAGTTTAACAGTGAAAAATTCACTCCCAAATGAATAAGGTCAGTAAAAATGTGTACCAGTAAAGGTCCATTTCTATGTAAATGTTATAGGGGGCGTCCGTTTAATCCTACGTTTTCCCTCGTTCCCGGGCTTGTATCTGGTTTAAACTGGATTAGGGTTGCTCCTAACTTAATAAACTGTGTTAACTAAAACTCTGATGGGTTTGAGCATTATTTTTGGACTGATGTTGCTGACTGTACTTTGTAATGTAACTAAATAACTAAGCCTATCTAGTATTTTTTTGGTACAAACGTTCAAATCGAGTACCAATATTTTTTTTCCAAATTATGTCTTCTTTCTTAGTTTATATGGATATTACTGATCTACGGGGAAGGAAAACCTCGTGAGAAAACCTTGAATTTCTAATCATAAGTTTGAAATCGCCAATCCGCCTTGAGCAAGCGTAGGGTTTATTGCCTAATTTTTCATTTGAAAAAGAGGCCTTCGCTCAGCAGTGGCCACTTTTAGGCTTAAAATGAGATGGAGTGCGATGTTTTTGTACTGCTTAAAACACGTTTTTAGTACGCTAACACTGCTTTCTTTATCACTAAAGAAAACTCCGATTTTTACTTTTCTATTACTGCATTTGTTCATTCACAAGAGTCCCATTGCGGCTTTAAACTAGCAAAAGAGTAAGTCGATATTTTCAATAACTTTTCTTTGTATATAAGTACTTTATTTATTTAACTAGGCAACACAAGAATGAAGCACAGCAGCCTATGAGCAACCTATTCACTCGAGACTTGAAAGACTTAAGTAAACTTTATTAGAAAATAATAAGATTAAAATCTATTAATATAGAGTTAACTTTATTTGCTAGTTTAGATCTTTTCCACACAATTGTCAGCCCTATGCATCACATGTATGTATGTATGTATTCCCTGCTTATCTGATAGTTTGGCAACTTCGTTAATGTTTGTTTTGATACATATTTTGTTTTAAACATCTACTTTGGTGTTATATCTGATCTTGAATCTTTATTGTTGTATATTTATTATACACTACGTACGTACGTACGTAGTTACTACATATATGCGTATATACTATATAATTACCAACATGTATAAGATAAAATTTTAATATCTTTCACTTTTTATATGCATTTTTGTTTGAAACTTAGAATATCAAAGCCAAACAGCACTATTGTAACAAGCTATTGTGTTAATAGAATTATTTTCAAACTATAGATTTTAGGCTTCGTCCGCGTTATTAAAAGTATTCAACATCTTTTTTATCTCTATGTAAGGGATTATTGTTAGTGTAAGGACCGTGTGGGACTTGCCGCGCTTTTTGACTACCATTTATCTGCGTTCTGACAGTTTGAATACTTGCGCGACCCAACCAAATGTTCTTTAGATCGGTATTGTTCGTCGGATAACTCAGCAGCACTTGCTATGCTGGTTGCAAACTGACACTTGCGTGCCTGTCTTCAGAACGGGTCCACCTAAACTGGTGTGATTCTTTCATCAAAAGACCACTACAGAATGAACTTGCACGGTTCTCTCACATTATGTTATTTTTACATTGTCTGGACTTGAAAAGAGACTGACCTCTGAGTTTGTTTAGGCATTTCTTCTCAGAGTAGTCAGATAGGAAATGCCGGCTTCATCTAGTCTTTCACATATAAATTGACGTGTAAAAGTACCGTTTTATGGCCTATTTGCAAAAATAAATTCATTGTTTCATATGCAAAGTTTTTATCACAATTTAATATTTCAGACTATTATTTTTATGTTTTTATAATAACTATCGTGAGACATACTAAATTAACTAAAATTCGCGGGTTACTCACGTGCAAATGTTGAGGAAAGCTCTACTAGTTTCGTACCACAGAGGGGTTCTTCCTCATGAGCAGCGTGCGCGACGTCGCCGCATCCGCGCACGCTGCTCATGATGCACGTGTGTAACCCGCGAATTTTAGTTATTATTTTTATCTCTATACCAAATATGATCAAAATCTATTTAGTAATTTTAACTAGACAGACTAACAAATATCCATCTATACTTAGAAATTTTCACATTTGTAATATAAGCTTTTAATCATTACCGAAATATTCTAAGCGTAACTTGCATTGATATGGATTTACGAAAAAGTAAATTCTTGATACAAAACGACAGACAAACAAACAGAACCAGACAGAAATGAATTATAAAAACGTGCAAAGTTTAAACAATAAACGTAAACTCGGATAGTGCTGGACAACCTCGGCGCCGGAACAACTTAATAGAGCCTTATTCGTTCCTAATAACCACCTTCACGGCTTTATCTTTATCGATAATGGCGATTGCCAACACTATCGACTTTGGTTCGGAATAGACGAAAGAAAACTGTGGACCTTACCTTTCATTACAAAGGTGATTTTTTTTAAAGTGAAGTGTGACAGTTTTTTTTTATTTCGTCCAATGAAAATATTAGATAATATAATAATTATTATTATAACTTTCGTTTCTTGTGTTGAATATTTTTGTTGTATAATGAAATATTCTATTTATTATAATATGTACCATAGGTACTGGATTATAGGTTCAGTTGGTATTATATCATAGTTTATAGACTAGGAACTGTGTTAAGTTCGTGTAGGTATTTAAATGATGAGACCCATCTTGAATGATTTGTTAACTAAAGTATTAAATATTGATATTTAATATAGGTAGATACCGTTTGCAATAATGGGCCATTTATTTACAATCAAGCCTGTCTCATTGCCGTATTCTAAAACAGTAGATGCTAAAATCATTAAATCAAACCATTGTTCTTAGTATGGTAGCCATAAAAATATCCAAGAAAATTGATCATAGTCTCAAAGTACGCGGTTCAAGCACCATCCCATTCGTTCCCATACAAAACCTTACGACCTGAGTCTTTCAATTTATCTTTTATTCCAATCTGAACTTTGCCCTTTTGTATAAAGGTCCCATTTCACTTGTTTCTCCAGGATTGGAATGTCGTGAGTTCGATAGGGTTGTATCACGTTAACTATAGTCGCAAATTGGAACTATGCGACACTCAGCGTTGTTATTCGATTTGCATTCAGCGGACGGTACCCACTAGACCATTCGGAATCACGTATCGAATAGGCCAGGATCGAGATAAAATTGTAATTGTTTGAATTGAATAAAATATCAATATTGTCAGTTGAACGGTTTTTTAATAACAGGTTTTTTTTATTAATATTAAAATAATTCTTATAGATTTAAATAGAATTCTAAAGCATTAACTAACATTAGTAAGTGAATTACTGAATACTGATTCCTGCGATATGTTTTCCCCATCACATTTTTTGTTCAAAAAAGAAACCATTTTAATAATTTCAATTTCTTGAAAAGAGGCTGATGTTCAGAAGGGGTTCCGGGTAAACGCATTGTGGCACTGCTGCCACGGCCTAAAACATGAGAAGGAACGGGAGATTTTTAGTCAGTGAGAGTCTGACACTCTCTCTCTCGCCTTACCCTGGGTGGGAGAAGTTATTTGATGATTTTTCCCTGACAATAAAAAAGTTATTGAAATGCG